TTCAATGAGATCACCACGCAGGCGACGATAACGGAGACTGGGAAGCTTCATAATCTTCAATCTTTCTTCATAGGACTTGCCCTTTAAACCAGGAATTATCCTTGTTGCACGTCTTTGAACACTCTCAACAAAATTTTTTGTCTTTTTCGAGTCTCGGTGATCACACAACGTTTCCAAACTCTAGGTTCGGACGCACGACAGAGGTGAACAACAGCTTCATCATTTCTTTATCTAGGTACTCGTAGGAGCGTCTGATCAGCCCAAGCAGTTTGTCGGATTTATTAACTTGCGTTTCAATATGCCTAGAAAATTTTAGCTCCTTGTGACTGTTATCGAGTTTCCAATAGCAGACGTACTTCAGAATACGCTGTTCAAATTGATCACATTTTAAATTTACTTAGTCATATCCACATGAATAATCATCCTTGTATTCGCATAGATATCCCGGCCCTCCTACAGTGTGACTAGTGAACCTAATCACACTAGTCATAGTGTGTACTTACTTGAATACTCCATGTACTTGCATCATTATACAATTGTTTGTAACTATTCTCAATGCTGCAATAAATTAATGTTCGTGTGTTGGATTGGATTTGGGTTTCAGCTTGCCTTCATACGCGATTAATTTATATAACGACAATTTGTTATGACTTTTGAAATGAAAACAAGTGTGCACGTCAACCAATATCTAACATCCAAATTCACGCTAAATTAATTCCATTAACAATTCAATTGAAAGTTATTGATATGGCAGCATAACTTATTACGTTAATCCTATATTATTACCATACCATTATTCTCATTATTGTTATAATAATTGTATTTTATTATTTATAATATAAATTCTAATATTTTTCACTCATAGAATATACATGTACGTACGTGAATTCAACCATTGAATACTAGACAAAAAAGCGTCAATAGAGACCGCCGCCATCATTGGTGTATTGTCCGCGCGCTCCACCAATCACCGCCGGGCTCTTAGGCTACGGCCAGACTAAAAGCGTTCACGCGTACGCTGGCTGAGGCTTCAAGCAGAGCGGCGCCGCGCCGCGCGTATGGTGTCCAAACTAGACGCTGAACCGCTCAGCTTACTGCGAGTCTGTGTGTAGAAATGAGTGTCAGCAAGAGACTACCAGCCGTTCTCCTTGATGAAAATTTTATAGGGAAATAAAAGATAACTTTAAAAATCCAATATATACTTTGTTTTGTCTTTTTTGGAATTCATTCAGATGAGATTAGATAGATATTTGATAGGTTATATATGATGCATACCTCGCGAGTCATGATGAAACGCAACTTGTGTAGGTATAGGTGATGAAGCTTACCCATTGCTTCCAAACTTAATGAGACCATGCCCCCGCCAAAACTTAGATGAAAGCAAAAAAATATTCAACTACAGACTATCAAGAGCTCAGCGTTGTGTAGAATGGGCCTTTGGCATTATGACTTCGAAATTCAGAATTTTAACGAAATCCGTCGAGACCAGCGTGGATAATGCTGTGGAAATAACTAAAGCAACTACAGTTTTGCCCACGATTCTTGTAAGGGAGAAATTTGATATGGACACGGCATTTACATCAATGAAATTAAATGCATCGAATGAACAACATGAAACTATAATTATTGCTCCCGTTCATTTAGAAACAGCTCTAGAATTGCAACAGTTGTTCGAAAAAATTTACAAATTTTTTCATATCAGATGCAGGAAAAGTTGCTAGGCAGTATCATATGCTCTAAATAAACAATAAGAATATCCTAGTCCTCTGAGTGCTAAGTTCATTCACTTCTATTTTCTTTGTTTAATAAAAGAATTAAGAAAGAATGTACTATTACTGTTCTTAGTTAAAATATTGAGTGCATCAGCTATCATAGACCACTGGTTGCTGATATATGTCCTATCACTGTGCTGTGGGAGAGAGGCATTCCAGATTGCAGGTACCGCCTCAACTGACGAGGAGCAATGCTTCGACATCAGTCACTCATGGCTGCTTCAAGGACACTGCACGCGCGTGTCCGCGTCGAAATATTTGTCTAGAGTAATGTCGATTTTCCACCGCGCGGCAACGCGGGTTTACGCTTGAAGCAGCTTCTGCCTGTACGCGTTTAGTGTGGCCACTCTGGTAGAAATACATACATATAATATCGCAGCGTGAGCGCGCGTACGCCTTCGTACGCACCAACGCTTTTAGTCTGGCCGTACCCTTATGCTCGCAAGCTTCTCCCGAGCGCACGGCAGAGAAAACTCGATATATGCAAATTCCTAAAGCTTTTTCGCAGTAAAATATCGGTAAATATTGATTAGTTAGGATTTATTACCAAAAATATCAAGATGAAACCATCGAATGTGTGATAATTGACTCTATCTGAAGCTTTGATCATACAGGCACCCGTCAGTCATAAAAGTAATTTATTATTTCCTTCAGTTGCCCCAGGTTTTTTAATTTTATTCAATGATTCATTTAAATAGCAAGTAAACAAATTACTGCAATTTTGAACTGAATTCATGTTGAAACCTTTTTTTTAAAATGAAATTTCGAGAGAAATATTTGAAGCTATTCTATTTGCATCAAATTATAGTAAAATTTATATTTTCACTATTAACATACTATATAAAAGTTATAGGATTCCCGAATAGAGATATTCGCATGAGTCCTCTAAAGGTGTATACCGTTTTCATTGCTATAAAACTCTGTGTGCGTTGTTAGAAAATGACATGAAAAAATGCAAATTGCAGCTTCTTAACTGTAAACCGATCACGTTCCTCTCATTCTGAAAATCCATATCAGTGTTTGAGAACGGATTAGATTATTTTAATAATTTCTTGCAGGTTAAAATCGTATGGTTGACAAAATACACAGCAAGCCTAAGATATATTGAGTACGCCAATATAATATCTAGATTTCTGATTTATTCACTTAAATTTTATATAAAAATAGCGACTCCTACAGCTGCGTTAAAAAATAAAAATGTTAAGTATTTCTATGACATTTTAGCGTAGCAAGTTTACGCGACAAGATAGTCTTCATGGCTCTCTAATTTACATGTGAGGCCGCCTTGACCAATTAAATATTGTATAACTATTAGTTAAAAATATATCGTTAATTAAATCTGCAATTACAGATCATTTTACGCGTTAATTGCTAAGTGTTTGCTTTCGTTCGAAAGCTGCAAATAAAACGCGTTCGATAAAGCCAATACCAAGGATGTACATGCAATACTTTTTGCTTTACGCCGTCTTGAATTTTTATGAAACGACCGA